ACTTGCGATAAAGAGTGTAAAACATTTTTTCTTGCTTAAAATTACCATAAAAGAAAAATTTTTAACAAAACGGACGCAATCAGAAGAGAGTTTTTAGAGTACCTATACTAGAATAATGCAATGTGAATTTATATATTCTATATAATATAATCTATTTCTTGTATTATATAATTTAGATATGTTTGATATTTTGAAAAATCGTAAACTTTAGACAATTTTATTTGCATTTTTATAAAAACTTGATATGAAAAATAAAAACATTAAAAATATAATATAATATAAATATAATATAATATAAATATAATATTTATAATTATAATAACAATAGATAATTTAATATAAATTATTATGAAATTATTTTTTTTAATGTTAAGTGAGGCATTTCTCACGATCTTTATTAATAAATTAATAAATTATTTTATTTATACGAACTATATATAAATTATATATAAAAATAATAGATTCAAGATTTTACGATTTTTTTAAATTGGAAATTAAAAATTTTAAATATGTTTATTTTATTATTAATCATATCATTTATTTTATTTTATTATTTATACACCATTAGCATTATATATTTTTTGTTTTAGTTGTTTTAAAAAAATATATATAAACACATAAATTTTATGATGTTTAATATTACCTGAATCAAAAATACATTTATTCTTTGTTTTATATGCAACGTATTTTATTTTAAAAAAGAAATATAAACAAATAATTTAAATATAAATTGTAAATTATAAATAGTATTATTGTAAAGAAATGTATTTAATAATTTTTAAAATTCATTTTAATTTTAATTTTTTTTTTTTTACATATTTGAATTGGAATTTATATCCAATAAAATTTATATTTAATATTTTAATAAATTAATCGTTAATTAATTAAATCAATTACATAATTATATTATATTTACGATTATATAAACAAATATTTGAAATATGTTTTTTTTTAAATGACAAGTAAAAAGAATTCAATCGTAGATAAAAAAACAGATAATTATAAGAGTTTTCAATTAATACCAATTTTAAATTATTAAAGATTTATTTTTTAAAAAATTGAAAATTTTGAACATCGGTTATAATAAATCAAATGGTTATTTTTTTAAAAAAAAATGTTAATACGTAATAAATTAATTAAAAAATGTAAAAATAGATAGATATTTAGTAATAGGTTTTAAAATTACATGTTAGTATAAACAAGTTAATGAATCTTTTTGTAATGCAAAAATACAAAATTATTAATAACTTTGTATGCTGTATATTCATTATTGTTATTTTTGTTTTCGTTAATCAGTACGAAGCCAGTTTTTATAGTTTTTTTTTTTTTTGCGTGTATTGGAAAAACGTATGAATGCCTTTATTGGTATGATTCTTGTAACACAGCGATACATTATACTTGAATCCGAAATGCTAATGCGAATACAACATGGCAGTTATGGCAGCACCAATACATCCACCGTCGGGAATTCCAACCAATTTAATCTTTTTAATTTCTTTATTTTGTTGAATGTCCCTTAGGGCTTTGTTCATCCAAAAAGAGTACTTGTGAAAATGATTATACACCGACCCATCCATGGCAGTCCTGATTTCTCTCTCGACCGATGGAAATTCGGGACAATGAAATTTTATAAGTGATGCAACTGCTGCCGCCAAAAGTTGAGAAGAACGTCTTGTGAATATTTTAACAATCTCTTTCAAAATATTCATGTCCTCGATGCTAGGAATCTTATCAAAATTGAAATTTTTTGTGAGAAGCTTTAAAATCCCGGTGAATTCTGGAGTCCGATCACTAGGAAAAAAGATTTATTTATCAATTTATGTATTTATTTTATCGTACATAGTCATTTCACTTTCTTACCTCTCGATTTCAGACATTTGGATAGCTTTTATGCTATATTGTATTTCCATTCCCCCAGGCAGCTCTCCTCCAAATAAATTAAAATTCTTCACGTAATCCACAATTACCAACCTAACTAATTCGCCTAAATACATTCCACTTGACATTTTTTCGAACGGCTGGAATCCCGGTATCGAGCTTTGTTCGTCCAGCAATTTATCATATCTTGTAAAGGGTAAAAAGGTGGTACCCATTATGCTCCACTCAGTATTAATAATCATGTATTCAGCTGAATTATTTGGAATCTCCGTTTTTTTGATTGCCGAGGTTTGGCAAATACACGCGGCATTAGTACCTGTCCCTATAACTGCGGACATGATGGTATTTTGATCTTTATAAGCACCGGCAACAAGAACGCCAACACAGTCATTTACAATGGCAGTGATGCGAACATCAATGTCCTAATTGTTATATTTATGTTAATTAATAATTCAAGTTAGATTTTTATGTTGATCAATAGGATACTTCTTACCTTTCGCTTACAAGCTTCTTGTAATAGCTCCACAACATCACGATCCTCCAATCCTGTGATATCGAACGATTTGCCCATTTTCATAACCACTCCACGGTTAATGGCTGTTTGTCTTTAGGTGTAATCATTCATTTATTATTTATTTATTATGATATAAACGGTGAGAACCATTAAATTTAAAATAAATCCAGAAGAATACGAGACTAAATTTCAATCTTACTTTATTGGAAAACTAAATGTCACACCCATGGACATCTCGTTCTTACTAGTATCAATGCCCTTTGAAAAGATTGTATCATGTAATTCTTTAACTCCCAATCCGACCCAATCAAATAAATTTTCAACTGGTCCGACTTTTAATTCCGTCGGGATTACGTACGTTTTCTGCTCAACCTCGGTCTTACCATCTCCTAATAAAGTTACCGCCGCGACACGTAAATTTGTACCCCCCAGATCCAAAGCAAAATATGTGCCAGTCTCTTTACCGGTTGGAAGACGCGAAACATAGGATGGTATCATTGTGGATAGGTCTTGGGTAAGCCCATATTGGTAAGATTCTAAAAAACCATCAATTATTTCTTGTAACTTTGAGCCTTCAATCGTCGCCTGTTGTTCCAGCTCGGATAAAGTTGGAATCGGACCATCCATATTTGATATCTTCTAATTTTATTTCTGTTTTCAAGATTGAAAGTGTGTAATAATTCCATTGTTGGAATGAAAAGCTCGTTATATACAAAATGGGTCCTCGCGAGTCAAAATTCGGACTTAAACTTCACGTGAACACTAATCTCATAAAGTTTTAATTATCTGTCGTGAAACATCGTGAATAGATAAAAAAAGGACCAATACTTTTTATAAGTTTCTAGTATTGAACCACACGACGTTCATGATGAGCGAAAAATGGAAAAAAAAAAGAAATAAAGTTACGAATATCGCTTGGTACATTTCATGGGTAACCTCAAATCGGTAGACATCACATTAAGAAGTGTTTATTATATCGTTATTATTTTATTATTTGCATATCGAATATTTGAAAATCCTGGTTTCTTACATAAATGTAAAAAGAAAATCCCGAATTTTCGTGGGTATCTTAGGTAATCATCGCGGACACTCCCAACCTTAAACATAGTTTCACAGCAAAAACACTTACGAATTTACATGTAATGTTTACGAAAGTAGTGACTTTTAAGGAATGGTTCAGAAAAATTTTTTTTTTATTTTGGCACATACATAAAAAGACGCTATTGTAATCCTAATCGAAGCAAATAACCGCACGGACACTAAATGAGTTGTGTATAGAAGTTCAGGTTTAATGTTTCATCGTGAGTAAATAAGGCGTAAACGATAAATGAGTAAGCATTTACCAGTCTTCAGAATGCATGGCGTCAAAGGCTTTGTTAATTTCTTCCAATTTGAATTTATGTGTGACGAACATATCTACTTCTAATTTTTTGTTCAGATAATCTTCTACGATACCAGGTAACTCGGACCGTCCTTTAACACCACCAAATGCGGAGCCTTTCCAAACACGACCAGTTACAAGCTGGAATGGTCTTGTAGAGATCTCTTCTCCAGCAGATGCAACGCCGATAATAATGGCCTGTCCCCATCCCTTATGACAGGACTGACGAGATAAAAAAAAAGTTGAAACTGGTCCTTCAATTCGAACAATACAAACTGTTAAGAATATACCTCGAGGGCGGCTCGCATGACGGTGGTATTTCCTATGGCCTCAAAAGTGTAATCTAAACCTCCATCGGTCATCTCAATCAAAACCTATATATAAAAACATAATAATAATAAATTACCAAAATTTCTTTCTATTAATCCGATTTGTTCATACAAAAACCGGTAATTCATCACCTGTTGAATAGGTTTATCATAATCTTTGGGATTAACGAAGTCGGTAGCACCCAATTTCTTTGCTTTAATGAATTGGTAAAGACACTTTAGGATGGAATTAACACGATATCTTGAAAGGAATAATGTTTATAATACCATATTCAAACTTCCCAGGGTTTATGTCTATAGCAATTATTCGGCTACAAACGGACATTAAAACGCTCGGTTAATGTGGAAATTAAGCAACTTTTCACACTGAAAAATTACCTGGCATTACGAGCCTTCGCACCTTGAATGGCAGACAATCCGACGCCACCACATCCAAATACCGCAACAGTCGAACCGGGTTGGATATCGGCAGTCTTTGTGACTGCACCATAACCTTTGCAATATACATATGGATTCGAAAATGTCAATACCAAACGTGATAGGACTTGATTTGAAAAACTAAAATTAATACCGGTAGTAATGCCACATCCGAGTAAGCAAACCTTATCCAATGGCGCGATCGGATTAATCTTGGCAGCTGATATCTCTAATATAACTAAATTCACGTATAAAAAGGTAGATTAGCATTCTCACGAACGTAAGAACAAATAAACAACGAATATTATAATAAACCACCTGTGTACTGGCTGAAAGTAGAGCAACCCATATAATGATGTACATTGTGTCCTTTGCATATGAAACGTGTTGTCTCATCCGGCATCAGCCCGCGTCCCTGGATATACCGTTCAATAAAATTTATCTAATAAGCAAAAAGCATAGATATCTTGGAAGCAATTTACCTGAGTATCTCTGACTACAGAACATAAATTGGTCTTTCCACTCTTACAAAATTTGCATTGATGACATTCTGGGATGTACAACGGGATTACGTGATCTCCAGGTTTGACCGAGGTAACGCCTTCTCCGATTGATTCAACTATACCACCTCCTTCGTGGCCGAGAATAGCTGGCCATTTTCCCTCGGAGTCTTTGAAAAATTATAATATGTTTCAAGAATCACTCAAGTATAAAAAAATTTGTTTTACCTTTGCCTGATAGTGTGTAAGCATCGGTATGGCATCTAAAGAAAAATCGAATTAGCAATTTGCTAGCATTTGGTGGTCATCTCTTAGCCATAATGTCCAACTTACACTCCAGAAGCCAAGATTTGAATTCTAATTTCTCCCTTCTATTTTTTGTTTATTGATTGTGATACGATATTCTAAAGACGTTTATGTAACCCAAATAACAGCAACAAAAAAAAATTTACCTTTGGAGGTAATACCTCTACTTCTTCGATGCCTAGTTAAAAGAAATTTGTCGAAAGCTAAATAAAGAATCGACGTAATATCAAGAAAAATCAATTGGTTCTATTACTTAAAGGTTGGTTTGGTCCCCACGCAACTGCGGCTTTGCATTTAATTATCTAGTTAATGATATCTTTGTCAGTAACTTCATTTTCAATAAGTTGGATAATTATTTAACAAGAAAATCCTACTTTTCCGGCAAAAGACATTTTTATCAATACAAGGTAAGAAGTAAGAAACTACACAAATTCTCAATATTTTTATAGACAATGATTTACGCTATCGTTATATATAAAAAGATGACAATTTAAGTTTGATGACAACTGGTAAATAAAAATTTTAAAACATTTATTTATTATTTTTTTCATTCAAAAGTTACAAACTTAAACTTTCTAGAATTTCATTGATATGTCGAAGTATGCAAGTACAGGATTATGAAACTGAACTATCTAAAAATCAAATAGTACTGTTTCACACTGGTTGGTAATGAAATAATATCTACAAACTCTGTTTTTAATAAGGTTGATTTTAAAAAATAAGTAATATTATTTTTTAATATTAATATTTGTATCTGCATATCTGTACATTACTTTAAGAATATACAGTATGTACTATTCTAATTAAATACAATATTTTAAATAAGATAACAATAGTCATTAAGATTTTATATCATTCATTACAGTTTGTTTTTTATTAATTCAAATTAATAAATTCACATTACCAATAATAATAAAAATATTAATTGCTGTATTATATTTCTTTTATAAAATTTAAAAATTAATATCAAAAAGTTAATACGTATTATATTTTTTTAAAAAATTGTTTTTATATATTTAATAATTATTATTAATAGAAATTTATTTAAATAATAAAAGTTTATTTATAAACTTTAATATATTTATATTATTTTAAATATTTTAATATATGCTAAACAAAATTTTTTAATAACAAATTACTTATTAAAACAATAATTATAAAAATTAAATAAATATCAAAATTTTTATTATATATAATAATAAAAGTTAATATATATTTTTATAATATTTAATATATTATTGGAAGTTTATAACAGTGATTGTTGATTGTATAATATCAGAAGAGGCATGGAGATATGACACAAGATAAGTGAAAGTATTAGATGGTCATTTGAATTTTATAGTAAAAAAAATGGTCTTTTATTGTTACTTTTTTTTTTTTTAAGAGCTAAGGTACAATACACATGAGAATTTTTTATAAATTATAACTAACCATTACATGAACAGTCTATATTTAACTGACACACTACCTTTATTCTAACTTAAGTATCAACTTACATCATGGAGGTGGATTTGTATCCAAGCGTGAACTTCAGAAAACTTTTTGTTTTTGTTTTTTATCTGTTAACTATCACTAGAGTTTCTTACACTTAACCCGACAACTCACATACTTAATATCATGGAGCTTACTTCTTTACACTTCCTAGTAAATGCTCCAAAAATTCCTATGATTAGCAAATACTACCAAATCTGGGAGCTCAGTTGCTGGCCAAGTGGGCATGACTCCTTAAGAATTACTTCTTACTCTTTCAGTAGACACTCCAATAGGTCTCTTAGTTGATTTAAGCTGTCAAATCTAAGGGTACAAATACTAAGCAGGGTGCAACTCCCATAAAGTAACTATAAATCTCTAAGCATACCCTGTAGGGTTTCAACTTGAAAATAATCGTTAATTGCCTAATGGAGTTAACAGGTTTTTTTTTTTATAGTCTCGTGAACTATAAGAAAGGAAACAACCAATATGAAACTGGGAAATGTACCAAGCACAATGTTGATTATTGTAATATCAACCGGATGATCAATGCTATATAACACCTTTTTTAGAGAACACAATATCAACACCTGCTGGATTAGTATATGAAACAGCTTCGCATGAGAAACAGCATATAACAGGTTACAGTGCCAGATACCATATGGAACTATTTAATCGTCATCACCTGGAATTGAACCAGTATCTTATGATCTGACCTGTGAAGTGCTAACTACTGTACTATAGATCCACAGGTCTTTTATTGTTACTTTATTTCTTGTATATATATATTTTTTTTTTTTATATATATGTTATAAAATTTTTAAAATTTCTAAAATTCCTAAAATCCAAAAAATCTCTCAAGCCTCAATTAAATCCTAATTGGGTGAGGATAACATATGTTGAAATTATCTAATTTTTTTGTTTCTCTTATAATATAAATATTATAATATTAGAATTAATAATAAACAACTTTATTAAATATGAAAAAAACCAGACAACTCTCTTATTTTTCAAAGAAAAAATGATTTTTTATATAAATAAATAAAGTAATAATATATAATTAAATATAATATATATAATTTTGTTGATTCTCTAAAGATTATATACATATAATAAAATAATAAAAATAAAATAAAAACAAATAAAAGATAAAAAAATAAATATTGATTAATATAATTAATTAATACAATATTAAATTATTTATAAAAATATCTTTTTTTTTTTTTCCAGTAGGTAAACATTATTTCTTTATTTAATTTGTATATTTAAAAG